GGGGGGGGGATGCTTGCAGCTGGCGGTGGGACCGTAAACAAAAGAGTAGAAAGTGCAGATGGTTAAGACTAATTAGTTAACTAGCTAAAGCTAACATTGCAGAGGCTCTTTCACCAGCAGTTTTCTAGCAAAAGTGCAGAATTTGACAAATAAATTGGATGAGTTACAACGTTGCATCACCCACAACAAGAAACCTTCAGACTGTAATGTCATGATGCTTATTGGAAAATGGTTAAACTGTGATGTACCCAATAATGCTATTGAGCTAGCCAGACACTACATGCTCTGAGCAAACCGTAGCAGACGACTCCGATAAGTCCAGAGGTGGCAGACAGTGCATTTATATTAACAAAGCTTGGTGTGCAAACTTCAACACTGTTGAGAGACGCTACTAACCTTGAATTTGCAGAACTTTCTATCTTCCAAGACAGTTCTTTTCCACAATTATAAATGCAGTTGATATATTCTGGATACTAATGCCAAACTTGCTATAAAGGAACTTTATAGTCACTGCTCACTCAGAGGCCACATTTATAATTGCTGGTGACTTTAATCACTCAAACATAAAGACACCATTCCCCGAATTCCACCAGTGAATTTCCTGCAATACAGGAAGAAATAAAACTTTGGATCAATGTTTACTCAAACATTGCTGGAACTTACACTGCGACCTCCTCCCCTACCTGAATCAATCAGATCACCTTTCTCTGTTCATCATTCCTAAGTACTCGGAACTTATGCAACGTGTGAAACAATCAATTTCAATTTCTGTCTGGAACTGGTCCCTCTTGTAAATGAGTCCCCATGACACAATGAGGCTAGCCTGTATAAATAAAGGTTGAATGATTGAATCATTGACAACCATCAGAGTGTGGCCAGTGGGAGCAGACTATGGACAGATTCAGCTTCAGGACAGGTTTCATCATACGGACTGGAGTACGTTTGCTCTGCAGACTAATTGTGGTACTCACACAGATATTGACACTTCCACCTCCTCAGTGATGGATTATATTGACACAATCATTGATGATGTAACCACAAAGAAAGAGGTCACCATGTACTCAGATCATAAGCCATGGATAAACAAGGAGGTGTGGCTTCTGCTCAAGGCCGGAAACATCGCCTCCAGATCAGGTGATGCTCAGGCCTACAGCATATCCCGGACAAACCTGAGAAGGGGCATCAAAAAAGCTAAGCACTGCTACAACATAAAGGTAGAGGAACACTTCTGTAACTCCACCCTCCAACATATGTGACAGGGCATCCAGGCTATCAGCAACTATAAACCTAGCAATTTCACCCTGACAACTACAGATGTGTCTTTCCTGAACAAGCGCAATTACTTTTATGCCCATTTTCATAGAGACAACAGAGAGACTGCTACCAAGAAGAGATCTCTGTAGACCACCAACCCCTCACCTCTATAGAAGTCTACACCGCTCAGAGTCAGATCAATGCATGTAACACCCAGATGGCATCTCTGGGTGCGTACTCAGAGCATGTGTGAAACAGCTCAAAGGAGTCTTTACAAATATCTTCTATCTGTCTCATCCTAGCAACTGTACTGAAATGCTTTAAAACCACCTCCATTGTACCAGTGCCAGAACACTTCAACCCAACATGCCTGAACGACTACCTTCCGTACTGTAGCACTCACACACATTGTTGTGAAGTGTTTTGAGTCCTGGCACACCTGAAGAACTGCCTACCACCCTCTCTGGATCTATATCAGTTTACCAATCACTGTAATAGCAGTGCAGAGGATGCAGTCTCCATAGCGCTACACTCTGTACTCACACATCTGGACAATAACAGTACATATACACTTAAACTATTTGTTGGTTTCTTCTCAACATTCAATACTGTAAAACCTGACAAGTTAGTATCTGAGCAGAGATCTGGGCATTAACACCTCCCTCTATAACTGGATCATGGACTTTCTAACCAAATGACCTCAGCATGTTAAGTCAGGCCACACCTACTCCACCACCACCACACTAAACACAGGTGTACCACAAGGATGTGTGCTGAGTCCATTTCTCTACTCCCTCTTCACCCACAACTGGAGGCCTGTGCATGGAGTTCCTTCATAAAGTTTGCTGACGACACCACAGTGCTCATCCTTATCGGCAACAATGATGGGACAACCTACGGAAAGGAGGTACAGCACCTGGTTGCATGATGCGCCGACAATAATCTGTTCCTTAATACCAATAAAACAAAGGAGCTCACTGTGTGTGAGGAGGCACACATGACCCTATCTACATTAACAGTATGGCAGTCGAACGTGTTTCCATCTTCAAATTCTTGGAGATCCACATCGCAGAGGACCTGTCCTGGACCACCAGCACCTCCAGCCTTGTCAAGAAGGCTCAACAATGCCTCTTCTTCCTGAGAACACTGAAGAAATACCACATTGCCCCAGTTATCCTGGTGAACTTTCACCGTTCTGTGATGGAGAGTATCCTGACCAGTAATGTCATCCTGTAATACGGGAACTGGACTGTCACAGACCGTAAGGCGCTGCAGTGGGTGAGGAAAACAACACAGTGCATCATAGGGTCTCCACTTTCACTCTTTGCAGACATCCAGAGGAAACGCTGTCTATGCCGAGCTCGCAACATTCACAAAGACTCCTCTTACCCTGCCCATAAACTATTTGTCCTCTCTCCCTCCGGCAGGTGCTTCAAGAGCCTCCAGACCAGTACCAGCAGACCAAGGAACAGCTATCACCCCAGAGCTGTGTCCTTGTCTGTGCCCCATCACTCCTTTTGAACTGTGCTACAGTATTCACATTGTACATACCACTGTACACTATGTTTATAAACCACACTGTACATAATTCAAGATGCACCAGATCCATCTGGTATATTTTGAACACTTTATGATGTATGTGTGTCTGTAGCACACAATCTGTATATCATGTGTTTATCATATTTATCTATTATCTATCTTACCCACAGATCTGTATATCATGTTCATAGTATAGTACAATAATGTATATTCTGCATTTGCTGTTTATTGCACTATTGGTTAGATGCCAAACTGCATTTTACTACCTTGTACTTGACATGTGCAATGACAATAAAGTTTAATCAAAATTTTTGAAACAATACAAGAGAGACGTCCGTCACAGTTAATATGTCGCACTCAACGTTAACACAGCCAAGTCCTGCTCCACACCTCTTGTGGTTCCTCTATGCTCAATTAAATTCTGAATGCTCGTGTCTGACCATCTCCATCTGTGATTTATGAATGGCCAGGGGGAGCTTAAAGATGGACTGGGCTGTGCGGCCATTTTGCAGAACTGTCTTGTGAATGAGCCTCGACATATCAGTGGGGTATTGGCAAAATGAAAGAAAGAACTTTGCCCATTTGAAACTTCAAAGTTCAAGCATGCTTCACAGCAGAAACCTCATTAAAAGTTTAAATGTAACTCAGAAATTAGGGCTTTACATGTCCAAACTGGCATTTTGATATATTTACAGTTTTTACACAATCACAGTGTAAATTTTGTGATTTTTGGAACTTTTACCATGGAACGTCATACTGACAGTTAATGATGTCACACACTAACTTTTGAACTTTATTAAACTTTCTAATATTTTGCAAACCATTCTTAGACCCACAAGGTTTCATCCAGTTTGCCTCTCACTGCTATAGGACATATGGTTTTCTCTTAAATCCCTTCAGGGTGCAGAAAGTTCACACTCAAACTTTCAGACTTGAGTATTAGCTCAAAGTTTTATTTCCAAAACTAGAAGAAAATGTTTTTTTGTTTTTTTTTAACTTGTCATGCATTCTACATAAAACACTGTAGATACAAAATAATAAAATAAAAAAACAAATTACATGTGTAACCATCAGAGTCTTCTGCTGCTCATGGTTAAAAATGTTTAAAATACAACCTGTAGATTTCACATAGCAACTGTTTCTATATCTCATACATGAAAATGTAATATTTTTAAGTTGTTTTGATTTTTGCGGTTATGTTGGAATTTTGGGCAGCAGCTGCATTGGCACACCTCAAAAACAAGTTGCCACATATGGCACATTATACACCCGTCGACAAACTATTATTCATACGGCAATTTATAGGATCGAACCAGACAAGCAAAGACCTCGCGTTACCTTTGATCTTGATTTGTGACCTTGTCGTTGAAGCTGGGGTCATGAAAAGTGTATGGGGCACTCCGTGTAGTGGTGATGCATATATGTAGAATGGGTGGGACAAGAGAACGTTAACGGACGGAGGGAGACTATACCATAATATGTCCTCTTTCAATGGGCGTAGAATTTATTTGGTACCTTTCTAGTTTTTAGAACTCAGTCTTCAAACTAAATTCAATTAGAAGTTAGAAAAAAAAGGTTTAATTCTAGCCAAAGAGAAACATCATGGAGGGAAATGTGTTTGGGCATCAGCTCACACTGAGTTCAGGTGAGACACAATAATCAGCTGCTGTTTTACAGCAGGATGGCTTGTTTTCTGAATCATGTTTTGAGTTCAGTTTTATGTCACTGGAAGAAAGGCTGCAGCCAAAGAAGAAGAATTGTGGTAATTAAGTGCCTGCTGCCAGGGAAACTTTTAAAATGCTCCAAGTGTGCACCGACGTGAAAGCTGTTTTGACTATGTGATGCTACAAGTCATATAATGTATTGAAAAGGTTTTTAGGTCATCTCATATAGATCAGTGATGAAGGCTGAAAGCTTTTCTATATTGTGTTTGTATCCTTCATCCTTTCTTTGAACATTTAAGTCTATCTTTGTTTCTTCTTAGTTCATTTTTGTTATATATTTGTTGGTTTTCTGTACTTGTTGGTCTACATTCCTTTCATCCTCTAGTGACAATTTAACCAATATATTTTCTTGTTTCTGGATAAGTTACATGCATCCCTTTCCCGCTCTCTCATCCTTCTTGCAGTCGTGTGTCCATACATCACCTTCTCCCTGCTGCCGTCTCCTTCCATTCATGTATCTTCTGTTCTCACCCGCCCTTTCAGCTCCTCGGGTTCTAGTGGCGTGGGCGACCGGGTCCTGGCTCAGCTCCTGACAGAGATGGACGGCATCGAGCAACTCCGAGATGTGACGGTGCTGGCTGCCACCAACCGGCCCGACATGATCGATAAGGTAAACAGACGCCGACTTTCTTTCTTCATCTCACCATCATCCTCTTTGGTCAGTGATTGATAAGGCTGGAGGGATGTGTGTTTGTCTCTCTCGCCTCCTTTTCCCTCTTTCACTTTGTTGTATGTGATTGATGAGGTCAAAGGTCACTTGCTCGGGTCTTGCTTGATATGGACATTGGCGCTGTGCATCTTTGGTTTAGTCATTACAGATACTAGATTGTTTCTTTTTAGGATTGTAATGTAAGTAACTGTTTATTTAGCCAAGTTTGTTTGGAGCATTTAAAAGTAGCATTTGCTTTTTAGATGCCAAATGTGAGATTCATCCTAGCTTAAGAGAAACTAATTTCATTATGTAGTACTATTTAGAGGTACATAAATATTTTTCCATGTAAACTTTTTGTTTTTAAGGTTTAAGGTTTGATTTTGAAAGTTGTTACTATTTTGGATCTTACCTTTGTATTCATATTTGTGTTAATACCATGTCTGTAAGTCGGACCAAGTCGTTTCATTTTGTACATACACTATATTCTCATCTCCAGAAAATGAACTTCAAACCTTTTCTGTAGTGCAGTTAAACCACTGGCGGCTTTGATTTTGGTTTACTGTCTAAAAAGTTGTTGAATGTTTTGCTGTTACCCTTTGTTCTTTCCAGTATCTGCATTGCGTTCAAAGGATAGTCTTAATTATAATATTTTTGTAGTTTTAACCGTAAGTTCTTAATTTTAATTTGTAAAAATATTTTTCCACCTAATTTATCACCACACAACTCATTACGATACGACTTCAGGGTCTTCCAAGTGGTGTGTCAGGGACTGGGTCATCACTTGATCTTTTGTTTTTTGTTTCATATTAAAGAACACATGGACAAGAGATGGATAGCAACGTTAGCATACACAAGATATTTTTTTTTTATTCGTGTTGACCGCACTGTATATATCTGAAACTATTGTTGATATTCTTTGGATTTGTGTACAGTAGTCCCTCGCTACTTCGAGGTTAGTTTTTCGCGGACTCGCTCTATCATGGTTTTTCAAAATAAGATTGGACATGACACAATGGTTGATTGATGGATGAGCCGCACGATGGGCATGGAATTGTTATTTAAAATAAATTATTTAAAATTATTTAGCACCAGTGTGCAGGACAAGCTTCCTTTCAGCTGAGCTCCGTGCAGAGCGGAGAAGTGGGCGTGGCCATACACTGTTTAGTTTTTGAAATGGAATAAACTGTATTCCACTTTAAACACTCAGTGTAACACGTGTATGAATAATTACATGTTCCCCACTGACAACGTTTAACCATTTTTTTTCTGGTGATTTTTCCCAGTGCAGCACCTACAGGTAAGGGGCGTTTATACCTTCGGGACAAATTAAGATCTCCGTTCTTGACATGCCTACTGGATTGATTGACAGGTGGCGTTGAAGATCCGACTCGTGCAACAACAAAAAACGAGAGCTGCAGCCGACCCTGGGTGGAGGCGAGGCGGCCCTGGTCCAGCGGTAGCGGCGATCTGTATATGTTGTTAATAAAAAGCTCTATGCAGCCCCGCATAAGACCAGCCCACCAAGAAATTTCCCAGTCCTCCCAATTAGCCACTCCGGGCCTGGCCACCACCATAAATGCATGTTAACCAACCACCACTACCTATTATTTGAGGATACTGTGCTTTCTTGTTTTTATATTGCTTAAAAGTATAGTTTAGGAAAATGATTGGGGTGGCAAAAGATTAACCTGTTGAGGCCATAATCTCCTGCTTGTCAATAAGGCTCACCATTGGCCACCTCCTGGTTCCTCCATTGCACTTGATGGTGGATAAAATTGCTCCTTTCACTCATCAGGATCCATCACTGCGCCGCCTTGGAAAAAATATATATATATACTTTTGTTCTTCTACATAGTGTAACCCCTACTCAATTGAATTGTGCAAAAATTAAAAAGAATTCTTTGCATTCCTTCATTCTGTTCATGCATCGGTTCATTGCATACATGTCCACAAAAACACTCATCTCAAAAACTACAAACATTCACTATTCAAATCCCTTAGCAACAGGGAACATTGACGTACTATTTGTTTAATCTAAAAACACTCTTCTTTCTTAACAAAAGGTTTATTTAAAGAACATTTTCGTTGCTATTTAATTCATTATTAGTGGCTACAAACCAGCTTTGCCTGCTGTATCTTTGATTAAAGTATTGCTGATTTTTGTGTTTATTTAAAAATTCCCTAATATATTATTTTGTCTGCCCTTTATTTCTATTGGTACAGACTTTTATCTCCTTTGCTTCCTCCTCCCAACCTAAAAACCTTTATTTAGTCTCTTATCCACTCATCTCTTTCCTAACGAAATTTCCTGAGTGCTGATCAAAGACAGAGTCAGTCCCGTCTCAGAAAGGACGTAGAAAAGGAGAATGTCGCGGCGCTCTTAGGGCTCCTGCTCTGGCTGCTGCTTTTGTCTTTGGGCTTCCTCCTCTTCTGGGTTCAATAATACCTAAAATAATACTTTTTAGAAGAAAGTGCTTAAGTTTAAAATAGCACACTTTTGAACACGTTAACATTCCAGCTCCGAGACGAGCTGACCATTGTTTTATTAAACTAATAGCTCACCATTTGTTATTCGTTAACACAATTTCCCCACATCTAATATCTGGCTAACCCTCTTCTCTGACACCAGACCTTATGTCTGGCCCACATATGGAGAATTGATTCATCGCTGTGGTAGAGACATGACAGCAACTTCCTCCACTCCTATAACTTGTTGGCATCCCAATTCAAACTCCATTCATCCTGCAACAGCTAAGAAAGTGTGTTTAAGTGTGGGTGTATGTGAAATAAAGAGAGATCCATGAAGAGATAGAAAGTCTAAGCAACAGACAGGAGGTCAAGCCCCTAGTTGGACAAATGGAAATCCCCAGGTGTCCTTCCAAGTGCCCCCGCCTTTCTCCCAGGAAGCTGAGAAATCAGATTCTTGCGCTCACTCCTACTGAGTCAATTTGTCTCTGTTGCTAAGGTTCAAGACATTTGAATGAAAAAGCTGTGAACTACAACAGGAAAGGAAGCATCCAAATGGGTAGATTGGCACCCCACCCTTCAAAACCAGGTCACAGTTTTAGCACCCTGACGTATTGTACTACTCCTTTACCACCGCTAGCACCGTCAGTTCACACCAAAGATTGGGAGACATTTCCATTCCAATGGCAGGATATGATGGGACAAATGATGATTAATGGGTGCTTGGGTTCAATGAAGTCATTGTCAACTTTTAGTAATGCAGAGGAAGCTCCTCGGGGGCTCGGATATTTGATAGACAGAGTGGGTGTGATGGAGAGAGAAAGAGAAAGTAATACTTACTCTGAAGGAAGATTTGTTGTTCATTTCAGTCATCAGAACGGTAGATTTCAGCTTCTTATCATGTTTCTATTTGAAGGAATAAAGTTGTTGGAGGTGGAAATTATAATTTCAGAAAACATTATTTTTTTACATTCTCATTTGGGTTAAAACTACATAAATATACTAGTTTCTTTTTTGAACAGATGGATTTTAAGACGTATGAGATGAGTTAAATCCACAAACTGGTGTTGAATTTATCATTGCTGTTAGAAAAACTATTTCCCACCCTTCCTGTTTCTTGTTAAGCAGATGTTATCACTGTTATTGTCACATTATGACAAGTTAACACAAATTGTTGCATTTTATTTCGGCGGGAGGTGTATCACCGTGAGGGAAACAAAACGCTACTTCTATAGCTTTTTAGCTAGCACGTCTGTATTGCGCACAACTAGCTTAGCGCTACGTCAGTGTTGTCAACCTGGGGGGTGGGGGGTGTGCACAGGGATAGGACAGTTCGGTTCGCGGGCAGGGCGGGGCACCTTGCTTGTATAATGGTAGGGGAACACTGCATACATAAATTGTTTCCCCTGGATTTCTGGCCTTGGCTGCCCTTGTATTCAGTTCTCCAGGGCGTTTCATTGGGGCTTGGTACCAATGCTCTGATGGTGGGGATGATAGTATCCCCCCTGACCTGTCATCCTGGCTCCCCCTTGCTGTAGCATCTTTGTTGTACCTCAGTAATGTCTTGGTGTTATAGCAGATTCCTTGCTCAACTGATTGAACATTGGGTCCAAAATTGTTTCTGGGTCAATTTGGATGATATCAACCTTTCCATAGTTGCCACAACCTTCCCATCTAGCCCCTCACTGTAGACATGCTTGCATAGTAGCATTCCAACAGTGTTAAGCTCTCTTTCTTTGTCCATGCATGTCTTGTTCCAGTAGTCCATTTCTCATCAGAATGTCTTGGTTCCCCAACATCTGACATCTAGTTAGTCCGGCTGTCATCTGAGCCGGCATGGCCTCATTTGCTTTTTCTCTCGCTCATACTGCAACAGAAGTTGCTCGACAGTTGGCACAAGGATTCTTACCCTGAACCCCTGATACTCCTGCACCAAAGTCGTGCGACTTAACCACTGCACCAACTCCCAGCTTGTGTGTGTGTGTGTGTGGGGGGGGGTTGTTAAACTGACCATCCCAATCATTTGAGGACACTATATTTTTATGGTAATCAAGGCCACCATTGGCTCCACCATTGCGCCTGGTCATGGATACACTTCCTCCCTCCTTTCACCAGGATCCGTCACTTCTGTGCCGCCTCAGACAGGCAACTTCTTCTGTTTTTTCTCCACAGTGTAACTCCTACCCTCTTGAATATCTCGCACCAAAAACTTTAAGGTTTACTTGCGTTCCTTGTTCAGTTCCTGTCCAGAAAAAAACTCATCTCGAAAACTACAAACATTCACTATTCAATCCCTCAGTGACAGGGGACATTGACGTACTACTTGTTTATCCACTGTTTTTCTGTGTTCAAATATACTTCAGTCCATTAGTGTTTTTATGTTTTTGTCAGTACGTATTTATTGGATTCGTATGAAACATGTAGGTTTGTGTTGTTCTGATTTGTTTTTTAGTCAACATTTTTTAATCCACTTGCTCAATTGGACATGTCGTTCTTTTGTACCTTTTCAAAGGTCTAAAACTTCCTGCGGTCTTTGTACTCCTTCGATGACAGTCACGGCTCGGAATGCATCCACATAGAAATGCAGCTGAATCACATCCTGACTAAAGATAACAAATGAAGTTTCAGACTGTATTTGTTATCTTCAGACACAATGTCTATTTCCTGCCTTCTTTAAATACAATAGTGGCTAATTTAATGCTCATCACTGCTAAGTCTGCAGACAAATAGGGATAAACTGCCTTTGTACCAAACATGTTTGCTATAAAAGTTATATTTAAGATCTTTTGTTGGTGCACATCTGTGTAAGATAATGTTTCTTAAGAGATGCTTTAGTGCAAGTTCATTCCTCTGCATGATCACACCACCAGCTCATCACAAACATGCACCCCGCTGCCTCCCATCTGCTTTTAAACCATCCCATCCACTTCCTCTTCTCTTTGTGATGCACCCTTTCTGACCTGCCATGGCCCAGTTGTGATTGATTAGCACCACCAGGAATATTTGTCCTCCCTGCTCAGAGGGAAGAATCCGTCACTCTGATTGTTGACACAAACGCACAGACACAAACAAGACGTCAGTGTTGCTCTGTCTGGTTTGCCTGCCTGTCTGTAGCTACTGAGCACATTTCTCAGAACAAATTCAACGGGTTTAGATTTACAACGGATTCACCTTTGGAGCCAAGATGGTTTCTATTACTACCGTAATTTCCAGACTATTGAGCACACCTGAATATAAACTGTGCCCACTAACTTTAAAAAGAAAAAAAGATTGTGCATATATAGTATTTATACACACTTGTCTATAAGCTGTGGGTGTCCACGTTGTAACACAAATATTTTTTAAACTTTTAATTAAATACCAGTAACATACACAAATATGTACTGTGTTGTTTTTTTTTCTGAACAGTGCCTGTAACACGGCTGGTTTAAAAAAAATACAGTAGCTTACCAGGAAGTCATTGATAGCTATCTTCATCTTCCTCTGTGCACTGCACCCTTGAGCTTGTGCCGTCCTCTTCATCGTGCAGCTGTCTTTCCAAACCCGTTGGTGATAGAAGATTTTTCTACACTGCTCCATTGTCAGGATCCACTGTCAGGATCCACTGTCAGGATCCACTGGCAGACTTGAACAAAAGTTGCTCTTCGCATGCAGCCAGTTTTGGTCAATAATTCGTCGCCGCCAGTCATCCCAGCCTCCCATCGAGCTCCGAGTGTCACTTTAAATTCACGATTCACACTTATGACAAGTAGCTGCAAATACTTTGTTGTGCCCCACAATGTGGGGGGTGGGGGCACAATGGGGAGAGGAGGAGAGAACGGGGAGGTGGGGACTTTGTTCCAAGTTTCATTGGTTCACTGTGACCTGTTCAGTAATTTAATTGGTCAGATTTTTTTTACCTTTATATGCAGGTAATCTCATTGAGTCACAAGAACCCACCCCCCAAGAGAGACGTGTATTATTAGCCAGCTATATGAGCGCCCGGGTGTGACGA